ATTGTCACGCCTGTCTCAACTACAAGGGCGCACTTTGCAAAACAAATGGAAAAAAAAAGAGCACATGGCGGAAAAAAAAAGGAAAAAAAAAAAAAAGCACACGGCATGAGACACACTGAAACCGTTCTTTTTCCTGTCTTTCGGGACATCCGTCAGAATTGGAACAACACACAGAAGATTAGAATGGCCCCCGCACAAGGATGACACACACGTAAATTGAGAAATGGTCATGCGATACCGATAACAAGACCAGGGGGGGGAAACAAAAAACGTTTTTTTTTTCGGATGATCAGCCACACTGAGGGCATACTCACACTAGCACTTTTTAACTTATTTCTGGACGGAATTGCCGCCACATGCATACAGGTCCGGCCGTAAATGCGGTCAGATACATTTACGATAGTGCTAGTGTGAGTACGCCCTGAGACAGAGACACGGCCCAGACCCCTTCAGGAGGCATTTTTTGCCTTTTTTCTGTGAAGATCTTTGTATCTTTTGGTACGTTTTTGGCTTTTTCACGGTTTCTCTTTTATTTCCCTTTTATTTCTTTTTGCCAGCTCCCCCTTTACGGTGCCTCTCGGGTGCAAGGCTTGCCGATGCATTGCTGAACATCAGATGGTACTACCCAAGCTGTCGAGTAAATAGCCATATGTGTTATCATATTATCGACTTGGCAGGTTTCGTAAAGTAATTGATACAAGAAATTCAAGAATAGGATAGCCAAAAAAAACAAAAAAAACAAAAAAGATTAGGTATCCCATGAACAAAGTAATAGTTTCGTCCTCATTTCGATATGCAGTACACAAAAACAAAAGGTAGTAATAACTTAAATAAAGTAAGCAATGTGTAGAAAAGAAGAAACCAGTTTTTCGTGTCACAATGAATTCCGCACACTGTGACACACCCTGAATTTGTCCGGACTCCGGACCCAGTACACCCCCTGCATAGGAATGCACGTACGAAGACAATGGAAATCTGCACTGTGCACACCCTAGTGCCCTTAAATACAAATTAATTTTGCGAGACGGAGTCAGCAAAAATGAGCGTGAGGCTTGGAAACACATTAGCTGACAGCAGGCGAGATCTGAAATAAGAAATTACTGTCCACCCTCGCCTGCTTCTTCAAGGTCGCTGATTGCACAGAGAGAGACCAAGAGCCAGAGAAAAGGGGGACAACAGGCACAGAGAGAGAGAGAAAACACATTAGCTGACAGCTGGCGAGATTTGAAATAAGAAATTATTGTCCACCCTCGCCTGCTTCTTCAAGGTCGCTG